TGGGTGACTCTATCGAGACAGAAGGAGTCGTCACAGTCTCGGTGGAGGTAGGGGACACATCCCATAAAGTGAAACTTAACATGGAGTTTGTAGTCGTCTGATTGACATGTGCGCATAATCTTATACTCGGACGACCGAGTCTGGAAGATTTGGAGTGAATTGTGTCCCCGACACATATTTGTATTAAGTTCCCAACACCAACCGGAGTGGGGATAGCACGCGGGAGCCAGAAGCTTGCCCGAACATGCTACATAAAAATCACTAAGAGGGTGGGGCGGCATGGCCACCAGGTGAACACTGTCGCCACACAATACCTACAAGATGAAGAGCGAAGACCTCGTGTCGACCCCGTAGAAGGGACGGAGGAGATCACCCTTGACCCCGAAACACAAGAGCGGAAGGTTAAGATAGGAACCAGATTGGGGACTGAGCTCCGCGCTGAAATCATAACTGTCCTGACCATGTACCAAGGTGTATTTGCAAGAGGACCAGAAGACATGCCAGGCATCGGTAGAGACGTTATCTCTCATCGCCTGGACGTGGAAGCCACGTCAAAACCAGTGAAACAAAAGAAGCATTACATATCCTCGGATAAGCGGGAGTTCGTAAGGAAAGAAGTGGGCACCTTGTTAAAGATCAGACATATCAAGGAGGTTAAATATCCAGAATGGTTAGCAAACGTGGTATTGACACCTAAACCCCCAACCTGGAGGATGTGTGTTGATTACACAGATCTCAACAAGGCATGCTCAATGGATCCATTCCCATTGCCTAACATCGACCAGTTGGTGGACAAAACTGCGGGGTGTGAGCTGATGAGTTTCATGGATGCCTTCAGTGGATACCACCAGATTCGCATGCATGAGGAGGATGCAGAGAAGACCTCGTTCATGACTCCAGAGGGCGTTTTTTGTTACTTGGTCATGGCGTTTGGACTAAAAAACTCTGGGGCAACATACACCCGCATGATCTCTAAGCTTTTCAGACGTGTCCTAAATCGCACCATGGAAGCCTACGTGGATGATATAATTGTGAAGAGTAAAAAATTGAGCACGCATGCTATGGATTTGGCAGAGGTGTTCAAAATCATGGAGAAATTTAATCTACGCCTCAATCCGAAGAAATGCATTTTTGCGGTGCAAAGCGGGAAGTTTCTAGGATACTTGGTGAGCCGAAGAGGAATTGAGCCAAATCCAGAGAAGGTTAAAGCCATTATGGACATGGAGCCTCCGTGTAATGTTAAGGAGGTCCAGCGATTAACAGGACGCTTAGCAGCACTAAACCGTTTCTTAAAACTAGCTGAGAAGGCCACACCGTTCTTCCACATCATGAAGAAGTCAAAAGGTTTTGTATGGACTGAGGAGTGTCAAACTTCATTCGAAGGATTGAAGCAATATCTCTTATCTCCTCCGGTGTTATCTAAACCAGAGACGGGGGAGACCCTTTATCTGTATCTGGGGGTCTCCTCGAGTGCAATAAGCTCTGCCTTGGTACGTGAGGAGGGTGGTGCTCAGAGACCTATTTACTATGTCAGCAAAACCTTGAGGGATGCTGAGCTACGGTACACTGCCTTAGAGAAAACTGTCTTGTCGGTGGTGTGGACAGTCAAACGACTGACACAATACTTCCAAGCTCACCCCGTCCATATTTTGTCACACCAACCTCTAGGCGCGCTAATGAGGAGTCCCACAACATCATCAAGGATGGTCAAATGGGCAGTATACCTTAGTCAATTCCACATAGAAGTGAAGCCTCACCCTTCAGTTAAAGCGCAAGCTCTTGCGGATTTCATTATGGAATGCACAGCACGTGAGGAAGCGACGAAGACGATGCATGAAGACCATGGTTCCGAGTGGTGGATATTGTCCACGGATGGCTCATTCGCGGCCAAATTTTGTGGCGGAGGAGTGGTCCTCACCACGCCCGAAGGCTTTAGGGCCTACTATGCCATCTGGTTCAATTTTAAAGTATCTAATAATGAAGCGCAATATGAAGCTATGTTATGTGGTTTGCGCTTAGCGGTGAACATACAGGCGGAGAAGGTCAAGATCCAATGTGATTCAAAGCTAATTGTGGGACAAATCACAAGCGAATTTGAGGCAAAGGAGGAACGCATGAGGCAGTACCGCGATGCTGCATTGGAGCTCATAAAATCGTTCATAGCTTATGAGATTCAATAGATTCCGAGGGGACAGAACGTTGAGGTCGACATGCTATCCAAACTCAGCGCAGAGACCCCTAAGAGGATCTCAAGGATTGCAAGAGTGGAAGAACTAGACACTTCTAGCATATATGTGTGCCCGGTGCACACCATAATTGCTAGAAACGAGGACTAGATGGACTACCTCATCAAATATATTCGTGAGGGAGTGCTGCCCGCGGAGGAGGTTGAAGCCAAGGTGACTAAGATGAGGGCGCCGAGTTATACCATTTTGAATGAGAAACTGTACAAGAGGTCTTACAATGGCATGCTTCTCAAGTGCTTACGACCAGATGAAGCCAAGGTCGCCATAAAAGAGATACATGCAGGGTTATACTCAGCTCACCAAGGAGCACACACCATGTCCCGAAAGGTAATCCTACAATGTTTGTTATGGCCAACCATAGTTAAGGATTGCGCTGAATTTGTCAAGAAGTGTGTGGTGTGTCAAGAGTTCCAGAAATCTCCGGGACGTCCAGCCACCAACTACACCCCCATCAGCACGACTATACCTTTCGCAAGGTGGGGAATAGATCTCATTGGTGCCTTACCAAAGCGAACAGGGAGCGTGAGATGGGTTATCGTTGCCATAGACTATTTTACTAAATGGATAGAAGCAGTACCCCTGGCAAGCATCACTGAAGGGAAATGCAGGAAATTTGTCATGAAGCACATCCTTTGTCGCTTTGGAGTACCCCAACAGATCATAACCGATAATGGGAGGCAATTCGGAGCATCCAGGTTTAAAGAATTCTGTGAGAGTTGGGGGATCAAACACTGCAATGCGTCAGTTGCCTATCCCCAAGCGAATGGTCAAGTGGAGAATGCAAACCGCACGATCATGGACGGTTTGAAGAAAAAGCTAGAAGCCGCCGGAGGGGAGTGGGCTGAAGAACTCCACATATACTCTGGGCATACAGGACCACACCAAGAAAGGCCACAGGGGACACACCATTCGCCTTGATATATGGTTTCGAGGTGAGGGCGCCAACAGAAGTAATTCTCCATAGCCGCCGAGAAGAGGAATATAACCCCGAGATGAACGAGGAGGTCATGGCGACCGAGCTTCTTTTTATTGAAGAAAGAAGAGAAGCGGCTTTCTGCCGTGTGGAGAACTATAGAAGACAGGTGAAGGGATACCATGATTCTCGAGTTCGCAAACGCAACTTTGAAGTTGGGGACTATGTCTTGAGAAGGGGGGGGGGGTTAGCAAACCCTTGGAAGGGGGAAATTTGCCAAAAATTATGAAGGCTCTTACGTGATTAAATCAGTGATCCGTCCAGGGACGTTCAAACTCCAGACACTGAAGGGAAAAGAAATCGAAAGGACTTGGAACGCAGAACACTTGCTCAAGTTTTACCATTGAAAATTTATCATTGATACTCCACCTGATGATTATGATGTGTGGTAACCATGTATGGTGGTAAACGTGGTCCCTTTCCATCCATTATTTTGAAATAAGAGGTCTCCTTGATCCACACAAAGTGAATAATGCGAGTCCCTGGTTGCAAAAAAAATGGTGTCGTCCAAGAACACCGTGGGTGTCAAACTCACCCAAAACAAAAACAGATTACAAGGTGTCATCCAAGGACACCGTGGGTGTAAAACTCACCCAAAAGCAAAAAAAATGAAGTAAAAAGTAGCGAGGCATGTCTCCTATGACATAGCTAAAATTCACAACATGCAAGGGGTAGAGACCCACCCCTAGAAAGAGGACGAGGATACATCGCAAATCGATCCCAACAAATGCGTAACCCTCAGGGTTGTATGGTCAGGATGCATCTGTGAAATTTATCGGATAGCGGCCATGTTTCCCAAAAAACGTTGTGTGCCCCAGAGCAAGCCTAGGTCACTCAAGTGTTAGGTTTGCTCAATTAGTCTTACTTTTGGGGTTAAGTGATGCGCGCAATGTAGCGAAGGAGGAGGTGTCAACGACACCTTATGCCTATCATTGTCCTTAGTCACTCTATATAAATACACAATGCCTCAATTCAAAATTAGGCAGATATGGGGCGATAAATGCACCAAAGTTATACACTTGGTGTAGTATCGCCGTATACTACTATAAGTGGTCAGGCAAACCATGCCAAACGAGGCGTGGTCGCAGCGTGGTCTCATAAAATCAAAATATTGGTCAAATAATTAATTATGTGATAATACTAAACAATGACGAAAGGAAAATAAGAAATGCGTCATTATTATTTTATGAAATTCAAAACATGTTTAGCAATTCAAGTACTCATAAGGAAAGACATGTCACAATTGAAATCTACACTACGCCCATCTATCAGTCCCGTGGGCGCTCTAAGGCACGGAAGCGATCAAAGCTGGGGTGATCCAAGCTGAATGACATATGAACCCCTTTATCTTTCTCAGAGGGGGGATCACCAAGCTCCTCATCAGTAGGGGATCTGGAAAAAGGAATGTCCTCCCGAAGGGAATCAGCCACCGAGATCTTGGGGTTGGGAACCTCAGGAGGAAGTCCCCAATCATTGATGCAAGAGGTACCAGCCTTATCCCTCAAGATAGGATATATTTTCTGTTGAGTGGCATATATTCTGGCCTGGTAGGAGATGTAGCTCTCTAAGGCGAGTTTCTCACGGCCATCTGGAGTAGACAACCAACACCTGCTAATGTCACCGAGGTGGGCATCGATGTAAGCTTCCTGATCAGACACGAACTCTGAAGAACTGTATGCATCCACGGCCCGACCTCTTGCATTTGCCAACTCCACGTCGTGCACGTCTTTAAGCGTCGCGACCTCGGCTGCATGTGAATCATGACCAAGCTTGAGCGAGGCCACCTCTTTTGCTAATTCGGTAAGTTGTAGCAGCAACTCTTGCTTGCGCTCGTCTTTCCTTCGGTTCACCTCAGAGATGGATGTTAGTAGCTACAAAAAACAAAAGAGAAATAGTATCACGAGATGCATAGATAAAAAGTGACGGGGAAATAGGAATGTTACCTCTGCCAGACCATGGTGACTCTTCCTCTCTAGAGCAACGTTGTCAAGTGCTGAAATTTTTTCCTTCTCAGTCACCGGGATTGTCTGTGATAAGAGCAGGGGCAACTCAATGTTACCTCGTAACCAGGTAGTCATCCCCGTAGTGGGAATGTCACTCATGCTCCGGGTGATGCGGGCTGCAGTACTAGGAGCCTTGCGTTTCGTCACGGATGAAGGCATGATTACGATAGCGTCCTTGCCTTTTGTGACGGAGGGAGCCCTTGGTTTCTTATCGGAGCGCCCCTGGTCACTACTGCGAGGTCCATCCTTGTCGAAACTTTGGAACATCTCCACCCTGGACATCATATCTGCAAAAAAAGGTATGCATATGTGTTAGTTAATATATATGCGTGTGTTATCTTCTATAGACAAAGTAACTGTGGACAACCTTGATCCGTGGACGTGGATGCGTGTGCACCCGAGCATGGTGACAGTGAATGGAGCCCAACCGTGATTAGGCGGTCCTCGTAAGTAAAGGGAGAGAGGCTATACGGTCCTCCAGAAAGAATCATAGCCGACCATGTCTCCTGGTCAACAGGAAGTTTCGGGTACGAATACTTCTTAAATCGACAATTCAAAGACGATGAAAAAGGTAATGGAGATGCGGATGACACATATACGAATTATTCTTTCCAATTAGCTTCGTTGCTACGAGTGATCTTCCACATGTCAAAGTGGTTGCGCTGTGAGATATGCTTGAAGAGGTCTAGGGATGATTCAATCCCAAGTGTTTTACCAGATACTGATGACTGGGCGGAGTCAGGTGACAAGGTGAAATTTCAAGGTCATTTAAAAAATCGATGATCAAAGGGTGTGTGGGGAAGCGAAATCCTACTTTTATGGAAAGAATATGCACCCCAAAAAATTGTGGACGGAAAAAATTTGGACATCTGACAGTCATTGTGGACGGAAAAAATTTCTTATACTTTTGAAACTTGGAAACTGAGAGGCGCGACCTGTAGTATAGAATGGGGCTCGGGTCTAAGGATGGATACGGACCACGGTTGCAACGTTTTGGTGGTTTGACGGGAGCGGCTAGTGGCTTGACGGGACTAATTTCTTCAACATCAGAATTAACATCTATCAAGGGATGAGGAAAATTCTCCAGCACTAATTCACCTTCATCACTCAATAATTCATCAGAATCTATGGAATTTAATACGTCCATGAATTGATGGCAACTATTCACAAAAAAAATATTATTATTATAAAAAAATGTGTCAAGAATGTGGCCAAGGCAACTACGGTCAAAGCAAGGCACGGTCAAAGTAAGATCAACATGCAGCTATGGTCAATACAAAATTGATACATAGTGATATTCCTTTACTTATTTGGAGAAAGAAGAATCAAATCAAATCAAAATAAAAGGAAAGAAGACAAAGGGGAGACCAGTGCTTACCTGCTGCGTATTGCGTGACCTAGCAGCGGCGGTGCAAAATCTAGAGCAAGACAATGACGACGGCTGAATCAGGATGGACAGCCAGAGCAAGGGGGCGACGTCGCGAGTGCTAGACGGCGGCGGCGAACATTCCTAGTTGTCGCCAGAAGGCGCCGATGTCTGGCGAGGGCGAGTCCGATGTTCTGTTCGCTCGCGGCAACCGTCTGGGGCTGAGGGAGTACGACGGCAGGCAACAACTTCCACCGTGGGTAGCCTGGTCGCGTGATTGGACGCCGGTGGCGGCGGCATCATTGACCGACCGAAGGTTGACGGCGAGCTGTGGCTTGGAATAGGGTGAAGGTGACTGATCGTGACCTGCAATTCTATCTGGAAGATTGGGTGAAAGTAATTTTAAGTCATGGAGTATATTATGGTTATAAAATAGAAGTCTACATGATTGAAGGGGAAACCGGCGGGCCGATGAGTCATGGGTTTTCATTGGCAAAGTTTTTAATGAGGCAACATCTTTAAGCGTATTTTTTTTATGTACTCCTTATGTTCTTTAGTAGTGTATATTTAAGAGAGAGTGTTATGTAATGTATAAATTTACACTATTCCCTCCGAAGCCCAAGACTAGAACCATGTGCCCTGTATATATCCCTACTCTCCCCTAGTGGTATTTACTCACAATTGATATTATAATAACAGGTGTAATTTTTCATTGAACCTGTGTTTTATTTCTTTGTTTAAAAATTGGTATTGTTCCCAGCTGGAAGCCTGGAATTGGTGTCTATCCCCTTTCACCTAATTACCCTCAATAACTTGATTTTGTCCTCTGCAATCCTCCCTCTATCTTCAAGCTAGATTCGTCGATATCATGTTACATATCCGCTTCTCTTTTGAATTCTGACTCATCAGCCCGCCGGTTTCCCGCTCCGGTCACGCATACGTATGAGCATCCTAAATCCTTGTTTTTCCCGATTGGATTTCTTTAGTCAATTGGTCAAAATCTATGATCCGTTCATTTATTGTTGATTATTTTCATAAATTTCTCCTTTTTCCTTTTCAGAAAGTTCAGTGTTTGATCGTGATGTTTAAACTTGATAGCATTCCGTGATCTTTGTTATGTAAAATTATGAAGAACCGCAGCTACAATTCCTGATACTATTTTAAATGAACACTCTGAGATTTATGTGTGTGCATAGGACTTCTGAAAATTCCAAACTAAAAGGATTGTTGTGTTATGATAATTAGACAGTGTGTTTTAGCTGGTAGCAATTTAAGCTCTTCCATATTCTGCTTATTTAATAGCTGGTGATTGCAGGTATTAGCTGATAAAACAGACCGGAGCACATAATGGGAAGCATGAGAGTGAATCGTAATGTTCCCTCACTTGTGGATTTGTGCGTTCAGTTTGCTATATGTCATGTTAGATATCTTCATGATGTTGGTGAAACAGACTACCATCTACTCGATCGCATTTTACCTCACTGTACTATTGATGAGTTGGCATGCATTGAGAGGTCAACAGAAGTAAGGAATTGTTCATCTACCACACTCCTTTTGGGAAGTCTTAAATTAGGTCGGACATTGAAATCTACTTTTGATTTTTGAAGGGTAGAGATCTTAGCCCTGTGACAAATAAACTTTGGAAGAAGTTTTATGAGAGGGAATTTGGTGAAAAGAACACCAACCAGGTTGTTGAGAAAATGAAGCAGAAAAGATGCACTTTTAAGTGGAGACAGTTGTATGAGGTACTTCACAATTGTTAAACATAAATAGTCACATGGTTTCTAACTTCTCACATATGGTTCTCAAGTCATTGCATCATTTTGAGTAGCTCAAGTTGTTCACAGGCAAAGTTGAAGGTCGAGGAGGAAGTTACACAAAAATCCTTTGAAAGAATCAAGGATCTTTACAAAAAACAAGAAACTGGTAAGTGCTATTTGTATCTTATGCATAAGTATGATTGGTACTACCCAAGTCTTTCCGAGTGACTTATAAGTTATAACCAATTAAACATGATTCCAATTAATATTTCTGCAGAGAAACAAAACCGGCAAATTAAGATCTGTACAAAGATTCCACCTTCTAGCTGTAGAAGAAACTTTTATGGAGGTATGGTTTGCGTTTCTGCGGGATTCCTTCTCTTGTGAACAATTTAATTCCTTTTTTATTTAACAAGGTTAGGGTTACTTTTCCGAAACCTCTACACCATGGGTAGTGGATATATCAACACCCTCATTCAGAATGCTATAATGGGCCAAATTTAAACACATCACCAAAATATACTATCCCAAACATGAAAAGGATTTATAATGTCATTGATTGAGAAGGAATGGGTCATATGGTTGGATATTGACCATAAATTGAGGCATAAGGCATCACTTCCTGAAACACGCGATGTGGGAAACAATATGATCTCCCAAGCATTGGTGGCTGAAGCAGTTAATTTCACATTGGGACTTTGGGTAGAATTAAGCTTTTTAGTTTCAACATTAAAATGAGAAAGGTACATATTGAATTTCTTTCTATGTTTATTGATCTAAGCAGTAAACAACAAGGCAACCGGGACAGGGACTTCTTAGGCAACAAGGCAACACACAAATCAAAATAACCGTCCCCTATTATGGCTACCCCAGCTTCTATTTATAGCAAAAGTCCACGCAGGGACTAAATAGACAACTAAACAAGCTATAGGCACTTTAAAAGCTATTTAACTCCCCTAACCCCCTTATTTAAAACTACTGATTAGACTGATGCCTAACATTACTCCCTGTCAATAAGAGAATTATTACTATATTTGAAAGTGTAATTTAGGGAAGTTATTATTAGGTATTAAGTGCAGGATTATTAGGTATTAAGTGCAGGATATCTTGCATTAATGGTGAGGATCTCCTGATTTGTTTCCTTGTAAATGTATTTATTTCTTGCCTATATAAGTGTGAATATACAACTGAGGAAGGCAGCTCAGTTCTTTCAGCAATTCTAGTTCTTAGTTCTTCCCAGTTTTATTATTCTCTGGTAATATTTGTGACATGGTATCAGAGCCCTGTTCTTCAAGTTCCTGCTCAAAACCCTAAATTTCCCTAGGGTTTTCCTGTGAGATTTTCGTCACCTCAATTGTAACCTTTTTTGTCTCAGATCTACTTATTTTCTTCTCAGATCTGTGCGTTTTTAGCCTCAGATCCACTGCCTATCTTCTGGGAAGTAAACATTCTGGTGTTTTTTTTTACTTTCTAGTCATCATGGATAAATTAGAAACCTTGTGTGCTCGATTGGATGGCAAGAACTATGTTACTTGGGCATTCCAATTTGAAACGTTCCTGAAAGGAAAGGATTTGTTGGCGCATGTTGATGACTCTTCGACAGAAAACTCTGCTTCTAAGGATGTTACTTGGGCAGTTAAAGATGCCCAAATTCGTAGTTGGATATTAGGGTCAGTGGATCCTCAAATTGTCCTCAACTTGCGTCCGCATCGCACAGCTCGAGCCATGTGGGCTTATCTACGACAAGTTTATCACCAGGATAACTCTGCTCATCAATTTCAGTTGGAGTTGGATATTTCGAATTTCCAACAAGGCTCTCTCACTATTCAGCAATACTATTCCAACTTCTTTACACTTTGGTCTGAATACATCGACCTATCCCTTGGTGGAGTCTCTTCGGGATATGTTACAGACCCGTCACCGCAGTCAATTCTTGATGAAATTGCGTCCTGAGTTTGAAACCATTCGCTCCTCACTATTGAGCAGAAATCCAGTTCCCTCTCTGGAGATTTGCTTCCGGGAACTTCTTCGTGAAGAGAGCGCCTGCATACCCAGGCTACCTTGGAGCAGGGTCAGTCTTCAGTTGCTTATTCCACTCAAGCTAAGCTGCATTCCAGAAACATGAGCACCACACAGTGTTATTCCTGTAAGAATTACGGTCACATCGCACAACACTGCCCTAATAAGGTTTGTAGCTACTGCAAGAAGCCCGGTCACATCATCAAAGATTGCTCCATTCGCCCACCTCGTCGAAAAAATACTGCGTATCAGGCTACAACAGAAGTTCTGGCCACTTCTCCAAATGTTTCCGGGGCTGCGTATCCAGCCCCTGCTTCTGCCACTGCTCTTACACCTGAAATGGTACAACAGATAATAGTTTCTGCTTTCTCTGCATTGGGGATTCAAGGTAATTCTTTACCTTATTCTAACTGGTTTCTAGATTCTGGAGCTTCAAATCACGTGACTTCTTCGGTACATGGACTCACTAATATTCGCAAATATGATGGTTCTTCATCTATTGAAACTGCCAATGGTAATAAGCTGCCTATTACTGCCATCGGTGATATTTCTCCTCGGGTTAAAGATGTATTTGTTTGTTCTCAATTATCTACAAGTCTTGTTTCTGTTGGTCAACTTATTGATGATAAATGTGATGTGAAATTCTCTTCCAATGGATGTTTTGTGCAGGATCAGGTGTCAGGGGAGTTGATAGCGAAGGGGCCTAGGATTGGACATCTCTTTCCATTACATTTTCCTCGATATAATTCTGTTTCTGCTTTTGCATGTAATAAAAACTCAGGATCGGTGTGGCATAGGAGACTTGGCCACCCGAATCCTCGAGTTCTTTCTCATTTGTTACAGCTTGGTCTTTTAGATAATAATAAAGAGAAAGTTTCTTTTGATTTTGATTGTGAATCCTGCAAACTAGGCAAAAGCAAAGTTCTTCCTTTTCCATCTAATGGTAGTCGTGCTTCCCATTGTTTTGAGATCATTCATAGTGATGTTTGGGGAATTTCTCATGTTCTGTCTCATTCCCATAACAAATACTTCGTTACCTTTATTGATGATTATAGTCGCTATACGTGGGTATATTTTCTACGATCAAAGGCTGATGTTTTCAAACTATTTCAAAATTTTCTTGCCTTTGTAGAAAATCAATTTTCCACGGGTATCAAAGTTGTTCGTAGTGATTCTGGTGGGGAGTATATGTCTCATGAATTTCAAGCATTTCTTGAATCTAAAGGAATTATATCTCACAGAACCTGCCCTTATACTCCTCAACAAAATGGTGTCGCGGAACGCAAAAATCGTCATCTTCTTGATATTGTTCGGACCTTACTTTTAGAATCCAAAGTTCCTACTCGTTTTTGGGTTGAAGCTTTGTCTACTGCAGTTTACCTAATAAACAGACTTCCATCACAGGTCTTGGGGTATGAATCACCTTATTTCCGGCTACATAAATGTCATCCAATATACACTAATCTTCATCCTTTTGGTTGTGTGTCTTCCACCCTCAGAACGCCATAAACTCTCTGCCCAATCTGCCCGGTGTGTATTTCTAGGATACAATGTCAGTCAAAAGGGATTCGTGTGTTTTGATCCGATAGCAAACATATTACGAGTCTCTAGAAATGTTATATTCTTTGAAAATCAGTATTTCTATCATAGTTGTGTTCCCAATTTCTATCATAGTTGTGTTCCCAATAATCCATCTTCTGTCATATTACCTGAATTTGAAAGCGTTTCCAGTCCTTCTCCTCTCGGCACCCGATTCAAAGGCATAATGTATGAAAGACGTCGTCCACCTGCCTCTTTATCATCTCCTGTCCTGCCATCAGATCCTATGCCAGATCCTCCTCTTGAGAATATGGGTAATGTGGAGATTCCTCTTCGCCGTTCTACACGACGTTCAGTACCACCGGATCAGTATGGCTTCTCATCCTCTTCTCTTGCTCTTGCTGCCACCATTGGATCTGTTGTTATTCCTTCTTGCCAAACATAAGTGCTGGCAGGAAGCAATGCAGGAAGAATTAAGAGCATTGGAACTTAATCAGACATGGGATGTTGTCTCATGTCCTCCTAATATCATTCCTCTAGGGTGTAAATGGGTGTATTCAGTCAAAGTTCGTCCAGATGGCAGCATTGATCGTTATAAAGCACGTTTGGTGGCACTTGGAAATCATCAAGAATATGGTGTAAATTATGAGGAAACCTTTGCTCCGGTAGCAAAAATGACAACAATTCGGACTATTCTCGCCATTGCCGCTTCCCGGGGATGGTCTCTAAGTCAAATTGATGTGAAAAACGCATTCCTTCACGGTGATCTCAAAGAGGATATCTTTATGCGTGCACCTCAGGGTCTTTTCTCTGGTCCCACCACAACGGTTTGTAAATTACACCGTTCTTTATATGGCTTGAAACAGGCTCCCCGTGCTTGGTATGAAAAATTTCGTGCCACACTTCAACAATTCTTGTTTCAGTCAAGCAAACATGACACATCCATGTTTCTCCGACATACCTCAGACGGGATTGTAGTCCTTCTTGTCTATGTAGATGATATTGTTATCACTGGAACGGATCAATCCCTTATTTCCAAGCTCAAACAGCACCTACATAGTTCTTTTCATATGAAGGATCTTGGGGGGCTTTCATATTTTCTAGGACTTGAGGTTAGTGTGAGTTTCACTGGTATTTTTTTAAATCAATCCAAGTATGCGGGTGATCTCATTGATTCTGCAGGTCTTAGTGGCACATCTCCAGTTGATACTCCAATGGAGTTAAACATTAAACTTCGAAAAGATGAGGGAGATCTTCTTCCAGACCCGACAGTGTATCGTAAGCTTGTGGGCAGTTTAGTGTATCTTACGATTACTCGTCCAGACCTCTCATTTGCAGTTCAGCAAGTTAGTCAATTTCTGCAGAATCCTCGTCATCTCCATATGGCTGCAGTTCGACGTATTATTCGTTATATTCATGGCACTATTACCAAGGGACTTTATTTCCCAACTGGTCCTTCTCTTGAACTATCCACCTACAGTGATGCTGATTGGGCTGGTTGTGTAGACACTCGCCGCTCCACCACAGGATGGTGTATGTTTGTGGGGGCTGCTCTTGTTTCCTGGAAAAGCAAGAAACAGGATCGGGTTTCTAAATCATCTACCGAGTCGGAATATCGTGCTATGTCACTTGCTTGCTCAGAAATCATATGGTTACGTGGTTTACTAGCTGAACTTGGTTTTTCACCTAATGGGCCTACTCCATTGCATGTCGATAACACTAGCGCTATTCACATTACTGCTAATCCAGTTTATCACGAGCGCACGAAACACATTGAAGTTGATTGTCACTTTATTCGTGAAGCATTTGAATACCAAGTTATTTCCTTGCCCCATGTATCAACAAATCTTCAAGTGGCTGATATATTTACAAAGGCTCTCCCTCGCCCGCGTCATCAGTTCCTTGGAAGCAAATTGATGCTTGTTGATCAACCCGCATCAATTTGAGGGGGGATGTCAATAAGAGAATCTGTTAAATTATTATTATTACTATATTTGAAAGTGTAATTTAGGGAAGTTATTATTATGTATTAAGTGCAGGATTATTAGGTATTAAGTGCAGGATATCTTGCATTAATGGTGAGGATCTCCTGATTTGTTTCCTTGTAAATGTATTTATTTCTTGCCTATATAAGTGTGAATATACAACTGAGGAAGGCAGCTCAGTTCTTTCAGCAATTCTAGTTCTTAGTTCTTCCCAGTTTTATTATTCTCTGGTAATATTTGTGACACTCCCCCCCTAAACAACCACCTTGCCCTCAAGGTGGGGTGATAGGAGTCAGCCATGATCTTCCGCTTGCACTTCATTCTTGCACCTCTCCCTTCCCAATACCTCCCGGATTTTTGGACATTTAGCTCACGTACTTGAAATTGCATCTTCCTGTTCTTCACTGCAAGGAGCAGAAACAATATCTTGGTGCCAGAATGCTCCCTGTTGCTGCAAAAGTGAGAATCTCGCTGCTGCTGCATCATAGGCAAAATATAGGTGTAAACTACTTGCTGAACAGTTCCATCAAGAGTGTGCAGTCCATCCAGCCACTTTTCATCAACTTTGACATTACTAACACTTTCTGGCTTTAAGGATAAATCCATGAGATGCTCTCTGGTGTAGACCTCAAAAACAACAGCCTGAGTAATAGAATCCAGGCCCTCACTGACTTTATCCAACTGGTATGCAAGATTAAACTCCTCAGCCCCTCTCAGTTTAGAGTTAGAGGAATCCCGAATTGAAGAAAGTATCAAACTGTCGCCCTTAACTACCATTTCATTGGAGTAAGTGAGGATTGATCCTTCAATTTCCCCAATCAGTAGATCATTCTTCCCCACTTGCTTTGCTAAAGATCCCAATTCCCAATTCTTTTCTCTTTTCCTGAGTATCTGAACCCATGGATCATCAATTGACATAAAAAACTAAGGTCCAAACCTGCACCTTCCCTTTGAACTAGTATACAATCTATCAGCATTCTCCTTACATTCTCACCCATGATCAAAGCCGCCTGGGGAATAGCTGAATTGAATTCATTATCAATCACCAGGAAGATGTCAACGAGTCCATCAGTAATATAACCAACCTTCTCATTCCAAATTCCAGTAATTCTTACCCCCACACCTTTTTAGACATACTTCACAGAAATTTCATCCTCAAATCTGTAGCCATCAAACTTATGCAGCCCTTCCATAACTTCACTTGCTATTACCAACCTTGAGACCTCATTCTCTGCTGGCATTGCTGTTTGCAAAGGCTCTCCATTATTAACAAATGACTCAAGCATATCACCTTTACCAACCAATAGTTTTACAAGTAAGCCGCGGTTTGACCTTTTCCACAATCCTTCAGTATTGGCCACTGTCAAGGTAGAAACTGAAGAAGAAAGTTTAGCAGCGTAGGTTTTCCACAGGTGTCCACCATTGATATACTCATATCCATCTCCATCATCTTCAGAGAGAGAACCTAGTTTCTCCAGAAAAGAATTGTCAGCTTTGGTAGCCCTCGGAGCATCCTCTATTTTCTGGAATGCCTCATACCTTCCATTTACTGCTGATGAAACCCGATGCAAACTCTTATGTAAATTCTGCCAATGGACTTCACCTGAGGCATCCTTTGCACAAGGGACATAGAAGTTGACTGCATTCTTTTGTTCTTGTCCATGAGCTCCTTCTTCAGCTTGTAACATGTGTGCAGGTTCCCTTGTTAGTCCTTAGTCCTGAGCCACAGGATTTCTTCAAAATAGTAAGATGCCCGACTAACCTCCTCTTTGGTGCCACCTGATAACTGGAGTTTGATTCAGAGATCGGATATAATCCACAATCCTTAGTAGCATCAGTATCTGAGCGGATCATTCCCTGAAGCTGCTTTCCATCATTACCCTCTTCTATTTTCTCAGTTTCCTCCTTGTTCATACCCATCTCTTCTTTCCTGGCCTTCTTAGATGCTGTAGTGGATATTAAGTTGGACTGCCAAGGTATAGCAATTCCTTCAGGGACTGCATTTATCAGCTCAGCACCTTTATAGATTTCAGGAACCACTTGGTTCTCCAATTCAGAACTATTTGGGCCAGCAATCTTGTGATCAGAAGATTTATATTCCATGACTGTCCAGGACTGAGTCACCCCAGAAGATTTCTCCTCTGGTCTTTCCTCATCCTCAATAGATTTGAGTCGGAAGTATTCTTCCATCTTAACTATCCATTTGTCTACTTTATCTCCATTAAACCAGGGTAATTCAACCTTACTTCCCGAGCCAATATCTCTTCTACTGCTATCCTGACCCATACTAGAGTGAGAGTGATCGTATTTACCTTCCGACGCAGCTAGACGCTCAGATTCCTTTGTTCGTTGATGTTGAGAGTTGGCCCGTTGTGAAGCTGATTGCAAGGGAGATGAAGATCTGCGAGTAGAATCAGTCCGCAATGAGCTGGGAGATGACATTGTTGGTGACGGCGAACTGTGTGAAGCTAGAGATGAAGTCTGCGAACGGGAAGATGAAGTTCGCGATTGTAAACTGGAATGATAGGTGAGCGTCGATCTCTGCGACTGCGAACTGAGGGAGGAAGTTCGCGACTGACCCTGCGCATTTCGCGATGCACTGGAAGACTTCGTTCGCATCTGCGAACTGTTAGAAGCCGGACGATGCGATGATCGTGATCTTCCCCTTTGTTCCTTCTTCGCGGCTGTAGATGCTGAAATCGCTGCCATAGAATCCGCGATGCACTTCTGCATCTGTGCGGTCATGGAAGCTGCGAGGTTTGCCATAGCCGTCTTCATCTCCAGTTCGAACTTATCCAAGCGAGCTTCCATTTCTGGTGTCCAATCTTCTTCCGTCCCTCCAGATCGTTGATGCTGTTGATCGATCGATTAGGATGCCAGGAAGGAGTGCTCTGATACCAATGTTAGGCACTGGTAATTCAACCAGCAAAAGCAGTAAACAAGCTCACAGATCTAAGCAGAAATGTAGATAAACTGAAGTTTATTGATATGGGGGATAATCCGTAGGTAACAACAAGGCAACCGGGACAGGGACTTCTTAGGCAACAAGGCAACACACAAATCAAAATAACCGTCCCCTATTATGGCTACCCCAGCTTCTATTTATAGCAAAAGTCCACGCAGGGACTAAATAGACAACTAAATAAGCTATAGGCACTTTAAAAGCTATTTAACTCCCCTAACCCCCTTATTTAAAACTACTGATTAGACTGATGCCTAACAGTTTCTCAACTAATGGAGTAGTGTAATGTCCCTACAATTGCAATTTGAAATGTAAAAATTGTATATTTCCTGTAAAGGTCATAAGTAACAATGTTTGTTATAAAGATATCACTGCAACCTTTTGTTAGTATTTAAATTATTACATGGAGTGAATCGCAACCCTTAAAAATGTGTGACATTAAATCATTAAAAAAATTGCGAAGTGCATGGGAGACTAGCTAGGAAGCCATTGATGTACCTAATGTGACTAAGTCTCATATTTCAAATTTGACAAACCTATTTTGGTACACTTTGTAATATTCTCCCATTTATTGTGTCAAGTGATCAAGTCATAAGACTACCATTGTAGTTATACACATTAACAAGTTGCCATCCTTACGAGTTGAGCACATTTTAGAAAATTCCTTCCGGCCTCCCTATGTGTGGGCTTGCTATACATCTCTGTATTTTTTTGCATGCATGAGGTTGAACCTCATAATGGCATTCTGATTTGGAGTGGTTTTGTTACAAGTTTGGTTTCTTCTCCTACCTAAGTATATAGATATTCTTTGTAGGTGGGAGTGGGGTTTACAACACAAAGAGTACAGTAATGAAGAAGGCAAAGATGGATTACTTGAGAAGGTGATTATGAAAATCCATCGGCAGCTATATCATAACAGTGCTGAAGTCTGATGGTGTTTTCCACTAGCTTTATACACCTTGAATTCTGGTTATGTGATTTTTTTTATTTGTTTACAGTCCGGAGTATAAGAACTTAGCAGCTATAAAGAGTAAGGCTGTGCAAAGAACTAATAGGTATTCTTTGAGTGACCCTGTGCATTTCATCAATATATTCATTAATACTTGCGGTTAGCATTCATCTTAAGTCTCTTGTGTTGTTTATCTAGCATTGTTTTCTCGCCAAAGAAACTGGGCGGACCTGCTGTGATGATGGCTGCTCCTTCACCACCCAAACTGATGAGACCAGCAGAGAAAGTAGCGATGAAACCAATGAAGAATCCAGCAGGGAAAGAAGCGATTACGCCAATGAAGAGACCAGCTGACAGAGAAGCATGGAGACCGATGATGAAACCAGCTGACAGAGAAGCATGGAGACCCATGATGAAACCAGCAGAGAGAGAAGCACCAAAACTAATGAAGAAACCAGCAGAGAAGAGATTCTAGAGCCTCTCGAGAGCTCGCAGCTGTGAATGAACAATGCAGCTTTTCTCTATCATTAAAAGAAGACAAATATTTATTATGTCATTAATAATGATTTCTTAGGTGCTTTATTCTATAAAAGTTGTATTGTATCATTTTTTAGGTGCTTTATTCTATTGAAGTTGTGTTGTATCATTTTTTCTCAGTATGTAATGTATAAACATTTCAAGAAAGAAAAATATCAACCAAGTTAAATTTATTGGGGAAACCTTCGGATTTGAGATGTTTCTCAAAATGAGCCTCTCTTGTGCACGTTTCTTAGAAAAACTCTGAGGTAGGCTAAAATGCCCATATGTTTAATTAATCATATAACAGGCTAGCAGAATGAAGTTATCAGTGATTACTGTTGTAATAAAACTATTGTATAATTTCTTGAGTATCAAACGAAGGAGCAAAAATCCTACAAAAGCAGTGTTTGGCCTTCGGAAATTGAAACCAAGCAGTAAAACTTCACTCTCACTCCAAATCATGCAATCTTCAGTTCATCATACACCGCGGCTCCTCCGCCTCCGTCTCAAGGCCAAATGCTTCCACGCCTCCCAATCCACACCCCTTTCCTTCGTCTCTAAAACCGCCGCCCCACCAACCTCCCAAATCCTCAACATCCGCAAGTCCCTCTTAGCCGGCGAGACCTCAGCAGTGGAGATAGCTCAGACCTTCCTCTCCCGCCTTCGACGCACAGAACCCCACCTCAAGAGCTTCCTCCACGTCTCCGATACGGTCCTGAGGGAGGCCGAGGAGATCGACAGGAAGATTTCGAACAGGGAGGAGGTGGGCCCGCTTGCTGGGGTTTTGGTTGCCGTAAAGGATAATATTTGTACCTCGGATATGCCCTCGACTGCAGGGTCGAAGATATTGGAGAATTATCGGCCCCCTTTCGATGCTACTGCCGTGAGAAAGGTGAGGGAATGCGGCGGCATTGTGGTGGGTAAGACTAATATGGATGAGTTTGGCATGGGGAGTACTACTGAAGGCTCTGCTTATCAGGTCTGTTTTTTTGTCAATTCTTAGTTTTGCTCACTAAGCCAGTTCTTTATTTCAGTTTCCAGATTTAGTCTGAATCAACTGCACATTTTAACCACACAAATTTTCTGAAAATTTTAATTGTTGAATATTGAGTCGAGAGCCTCAATGTAATTTCATCTTTCATACAAAAAACTGGGTTGTGTCATTAACTAGTGAATAAGTCTTTCATCCGGTACTCTTTTCTATTTTAAAAAACTTCTAACTAGTGTTTGCTCTGTTTGGTTGGGGGTTTTGGAGCAAAGGACTGATTTTTATTTCACTAATTTATTTCCAATTTCTATTTGTTAGTCTTATATTAGAAAGAAGCTATATTTGGTAAAATCATGTATGTCTGTACAAATTTTCAATCTTTAATTTCTTTACAACCATATTTTGTAAAAATAAAATACTAGAATAAACATCATCCCCTCCAAACAACTCCAACCAAACTAGGGGTAAAAGTATAACTTTGTGTCCCTTGCTCCATATTAACTCGCTCCACTGATCATTCTATTTTAATCAGATGAGTAAAACTGTCAGAGTATGTGCTCTTGATGTATTTATCAGTGAATCCTCAAATGGAAGGATGAAAATATGTAAATATATATGGTTTGAAAATTTCAAACTTGTAACACAACATCGTTTACTTACTCAGGTGATGCATGTTCAAATTAATAATAGGTGACATCAAACCCTTGGGATATGACCAGAGTGCCAGGAGGTTCTTCAGGGGGATCAGCAGCTGCTGTGTCGGCTAGGCAGTGTGTGGTATCCCTAGGAAGTGATACGGGTGGGAGTGTTAGACAGCCTGCATCTTTTTGTGGCGTCGTTGGCCTAAAACCAACATATGGCTGTGTCTCAAGATATGGGCTTGTTGCATATGCATCTTCTCTTGATGTCATTGGATGCTTTGGCTCGTCAGTAGCTGATGCAGGGATTCTCCTCCACCTAATTTCTGGTCATGATAAGTTTGATGCAACAAGTAGCAAACGAGTAAGTCTCATTTTTTTTCTATCGCATTTTGTGAATATTACTCTTTATGTTTGCGTGATACCCAATTGTCTATTATTGACATGACACTCTATGTCCCATAAAAAGAGCCATTTCGTCGTACAGAACTAGTTTTGCAGTTTATTACATGACTTTTTACAGTTTCTTGGCAAAATTAAAAAGTTATACCAAGAAATTTTTTAATGGGAGAAGGGGAGTAAATCAAAGCATATTCATTTTACGCCTGTAAATGTGTTAGCATAACATATTCAGTATTTTTGCTTAGGATAACTTTAAGTAACAAGGAACTGCAGTGTATCTTGTAGGACAAGATAGTCAGTTCCTTGCAGGAATCTGATAATGGGTGGGAATCATGCTCATTTTAATTCCGATATAATGTGGGTTCATGTTAGCCGACCCAAACTCTTTTGAGAATAAGGCTTTGATGTTGTTGTAGCTGTTGTGCAAATATTCACATGTCAAGAATTAAGTCTGCATTTTCAAAACACTTCTGTTTGTTAGTTTTTACTTTAATTTTGTGAATATTCTTTCAGGAAGTTCCTGTCTATATTTCCCAATTTCTTTCTGAAGATATTATGGAATCAAAACCCCTAAAAGGATTGAGAGTTGGTATGATCCGGGAAACAATGGAGGGTGGTGTTGACCATGAAGTGATTTCTTCAATTCGTGGCGCTGCGAATCATCTGGAGGAACTAGGGTGCACTGTGACAGAGGTATCATTTACTCTTAGGTTCCCATATTTATTTATTTTTATTCAGGTTTATGCTCTTCCCTTTTCCATTTTCTTTTTTATATATTTTAGGTCTCCATGCCATCCTTTCATCTTGGGTTACCAGCTTACTACATACTTGCGTCATCTGAATCTTCTTCAAACTTATCTCGTTATGATTCTATTAGGTAATTTATGAAATGTTATTTGTTTCAGATATTATAGCAAATTGACCTGAATTTAACCTAAGAAAATAGAATTAAATATTAAAAGTAGTTACTTCGATGGGCAAGACTTAATGTTTTTGGAAAGTGAAATAGCAATGTGAAGAAACCAATGCCAAATGAGGGGATTCTGAAATGATACAAACATTATACTTGTACTATAAGTTTAAGAAAAGTTAGGGCAAGGTCAAAACAACATATACCTGCGCTAAACAACAAACCGTAAACCTGTTCTGCTCTACTCAAGTTACCTGTTCGCTCCTCCTGTCCTCCACATCAACTGCAGAAGTTGGCAGCAGTAAGCTTTCTTCTCCATCTTTCCATTTTTTTTCTTTTTTCTTTTTTCAGTATCTACTTCTTCTTATATACTCTATCAAACTTAAACATATATATGTAAACTACCAGTATAATGGTCTATCATGTGCATTAAAAAACACTCTTCATTGTTGCATTTTCTTTCTTTTTTACCTTTTCAGCACCCTTCTTATATACTAGTAGTTTACACTCTATTACTCTAGATACCTAAAATCTAATTATGTTTTATTTTTCAGTTTGAATGTTTAAGCCTTCAAGTTATGAATTCTAAATTTGGTTGTTTTGCTTTTGTGAATCATGACCTTATTTTGGTTAATCATGACTTTATTTTGATGAAACATGACTTTTTTATGTAGTTAGTTCAATATGGTGTTATATACATCATGTTTTATTATTGAAGAATAGTATATGTGATACTTTCTAAGCAATGCGCCTGACATGAGTCAGACGAGCACTTTTTTGCGCCTTATGACTTTGACTACCTTGAGTTAGGGTATGTTTAGATCCTGGGAAATGCTAGGGAATTGAAATGAATGCTAGGGAAATTTATTATATTAAGTTAAAATGTATCCTTTACTTCCCCCAAGTTTTCTTACCTTCAAAGTTCAAACTTCACTCCATATCCCCCCCCCCCCCCCCCCCCCGTTATGTTTCGAGGGGTAAGCACCTGGGCGCTTAAGTGCACCAGGCGCAGCGCACAGAAGCCCCAGCGCTTGAAGAACGATCAGGCGCATCAACTGCCTAAGGTGCAGTTTAGGCGCAAAAGCTCTGAAGCGCAACTGCGATAAAAAGCGCTCAGAGTTTGCAAATAGAAATATTTATCTAGGCTATAGGCCTATTGCTTGTTTAGTGACATTGGATATTGAAATGTAGGTATGGGAAACGAGCTGTTGCAGATGAGCTTAATTCCTTGTATGGGGAATCCCGCGCTAAAGGCTTTGGTTCTGAGGTATTATTAACCATTATCAATTTTCAACAGCACTGAAGAAAGGATTTTTCACTTCACAGGAAATGATTCATCAAAAGGTTTGTCATAACAGTTGAGTTTCGGGGTGACATTGTTCAACATGTATAGGTCAAAATGAGAGTTCTAATGGGAACATATGCACTATCAGCTGGTTATTATGATGCATACTACAAGCGAGCTCAGCAGGTACCCAAACTGCATATATACATCCTTAACTTTTTTGAGTAGTTAATAGTTATTTTCCAAGATTGTACTTGTGACTTAACGTTGGCAATTGTTTAATATTTGCAAGCATTAGCTCAAATGGACACTAAAATCACTTCCAAACCTTTGAACATTTTGATCTTATTTTATTTTTTCCATGAAAAGGGAGGAAATAATCCCACTTTTAGTCCCGTTTCAGTTTGGCTATTTTCTCTTTTGGTCCCCGGTTTTCACTTTTTTTCGCATTTGGTGCATGGGTATATCCCCCCACATTTGGTCATTTTGATCACTTATTTAGTTAAAAATCATCTGAGAGTTCCGCGTGATTGGACGGATAAATGATTGGGAGGACCAAAGGTGGAAACAAATCCATAGCTGTGTACTAAAAATGAAAAGTACAAAATGAAAAATGAAAGTTGGGACCAAAAGTGAAAATGACCTTATTGTTGTGGGGCCCTAAAGTGAAATACTTTCAAAGTAAAATGGTGATAGTGTTTTAGGTGAGGATATTGGTGAGGGAAAATTTAGGATGTGGAACTTTCGAACTAAAATGGTGATAGTGTTTTAGGTGAGGACATTGTTAAGGGACAATTTTAGGGAAGCATTGGACAATAATGATATCCTAATTTCACCAGCAGCGCCATCTGCAGCTTATAAAATTGGTATGCCACTTTTCTCTTCATGTCTATTTGTGAAAGTTTGAGGTTGCACATTGGCTGAATAAGTTTCAAATTTTCAGGTGAAAAGAAGGATGATCCCTTGGCAATGTATGCTGGTGATATCATGACTGTATGTCATTTAGATATGAATTCCCAAGTTCTGCTTTTGAAATTACACTTTCTGTATCCTTCTCTTGAATTTTATTGCCGACTTGTTAAGTGACCCGATGTTTATCTGGCTTCAACATAATTTCTTTTCCTTCTTTGTGACAGGTTAATGTTAACCTAGCAGGGCTTCCTGCATTAGTTCTGCCCTGTGGATTTGTCAACGGTGGGTCTGTGGGGCTTCCTGTTGGCATTCAGATGATTGGTGCTGCATTTGATGAGGCAAGTTCTCACACATCCTATTTGTTGTTGAGCGACCCACAATAGTCATTTATTTACACAATTGCGACATAAACCTCAATCCTCATCTCTTGAAGATCCCTTTGGGTTGAGCTAGGTCCAATTTAACAAACTTTTAAAGTCTAGTCCAATGGTAGTTTGTGGGGCATCTGCTCACTCAATGGTTTGGATAAAACCCCACCTATCAAAGAGTTAGGCCGAATCTGACGTAGTGACGTGGTGTCAAAGTCCTTTTTGATGGTGGTTTGTGTGGCATCCGCTCACTTGATGGTTTAGGAAGTCTGTCTGGGGTCATTTCGTTCACTCAGTTGTTTGTCTAACCAGGCTTGGGCCCAGGGTATGGTTAGTGTCCGAGTATCCCACACCTGTTATCTTATGCAATAACATAAATGTGAAGAGGAGTATATTACCAAGGATCTTTACTCACCCCCCTAATCAAATTTTTTACCATATGTTATTAATAACTGATAAGTTTGACTCTTCGTCATGATGTAATAAATTGGTCTGTTGCAGGGGAAACTTCTTAGAGTGGGACACGTCTTTGAACAAACACTCAAAGGAAGCGGTTTTATTCCTCCTCTCGTGGCAGATGAGTTTCCATAGTAGCCAAATATTGCAGCTCACAATCGGAATTGCCCTAACTGAGATGAGGGATCTTGCTATGAAGCTCTCTTTCAGCAGTGGCTTTGTCTGCCCATCTCATAGTGTCTTTTAAGGATGGTACAATATTGCAGCTCACAATCGGAAATCCGAGCTTCTAAATTGGTACCAAGGATGGTAAATTGGCATGCTAAGTTATGCATTTGTGTCTTGGGAATGTTGTTCCGTAGGTTAAGCATTTTAGTTCAATTGCAATTGATATTGTTCCATATAAAACCACCTCTAATGTAAAGATGTGCACGGTGTACACATGAGTACATGACATTGGAGAAATAAATATATATAAATAAATCATTGAGCTAAATGTGTATGATTATGATCTATAACGGTTGTGTTTTTCCAAAATGTGAATCGATTAGTTTATTAATGACAAAGTTATATCTTTTCTGCAGATAGTTAAATCAATTTTACTAGTTAAAGTTTACAAATTTAGAAATTACATTGGTTCCTTAAACTCGCAAAATCCAAATTACGTTGTAATAATAATAAAATGGATATCCCAAATAAGTAAATAGAATCAAATGTTTTATCCAAGAAAAGTAGAATTTGCAAATTATCTCAGGACAAAGAGAGTTGTAAATCTAAAGGTATAAATAAATATTAAAGACCAAGTATTACAGTACACATAAGTCTTCCGTGAAGAATAAATAAAGTTATACAGTACACATAAGTCTTCCATGAAGAATAAATAAAGTTAACGGTTGACTGAGTTGCTAAAGCAATGATGAATGGATTAAATAAATGTTACCATTATACATTTACTAATCAATAGAAGACAATGATTGTACGTGTAAAAGAATATATTCAAAGATATTCTCAGCATCAACCTTTTCTATGCTAGTATTACACCTGTAAAATTCTCTGCTATACGTATCAGATGTAAAAAGAAGAAGATAGCTGTAAGTTTTCAAAAGAAGTAATTGAAAGAGAATCCCAAAACTCACTCTTTCTGCACAAGATGCTCAACATCCCCAAGTTGTGTTTCACCTTCCTGTTCGTTTTGAAACATCAACTGAATCTCCTCTAGAGATTTGCCTTTTGTTTCTGGAACAAGTATATAGGTGAAAGCAACCGCGGCTGCAGAGACTGCTGAGAAAACAAAGAAGGTCCCGCCGACCGTGATTGCCCGCGACACAGAAAGAAATGACATGGCGACCACCCCACTGCACACCCGATTACCTACTGCTCCCAATGCCGATGCTTGGGCCCGATACTTCAGTGGAAATATTTCTGATGTCAATACCCAACAAACTGGGCCCAAACCAATTGAGAAAAACGCTACATTCCCGCAAACAAACAATATTGAGGCTGGAATACCAAGCGAGCCTTCACTGCTCAGAAACGTAAGGGCAGACCCCAATCCAAACAAGCAAATTGTCATCCCTATTGTACTTACATAAAGCAGTGGCTTTCTTCCCACTCTGTCAATGAGGACTATAGCAATTAATATGAATGCCGTCTTTGCAATCCCCACTGCAACGGTTGCCGCAAGGAGTTTTGACTCGCCAGTAATACCTGCTGCTTTCAAGATCTCTGGACTGTAGTAAACCGTTGCATCAATACCTATTAAAAAGTCACACATAAAAAATATATCTGGCTATTACCTTGCATAGAAGATGGACATGCTTCAAACATTTTATGTTGTTAAGCTTATATATAAACTTATTAAGTTTGCAAATAGTATAGAAGTCATATTATGTGATGTCCAGCCAGACTAGCGCGAGAGGGGCGAGTATTTCACACCACGAATTTACCCAAATCTGATCATCCTTTAGGTGGGAAATTGGACTTAACATACCTTGAAATAATCCTCATGAACCAACTGAACTCTACACAATGGGTGAAAAAACAAAAATAAAAAAACCTCAATCATGGTAAACTCTAAGACCATATTAAACTAAGTCAGATGCAAACTCAAATTATCCTTTTAAGAATTTAACATATGCCAAGAAGTCTTGATACGCTATGAGAGTCATACATTCAAACGCAGCTCGATCCGACTAAGACTAAAAAAGAGCACACATATTTCAAGATTAGTCTTTTTTAACGAGTCACCATCTTGTGGAGCATGTTAAGTAATCTCACTCATACTGGTTGCATATCTAGTCATTTCAACCACACCCGTCAAATTAAAAGATACAAACTCACATGTAAAAGACCTTATATTTCTACTTATTAAGCTATTAAAATGGAACTCAGTCTCAATAAACCCTAACTCATTCCAAAGATCCTAAAGTGGCGATTATAACACCTATATGTGTTCTCTGTATTTCATACTCTCTCCATCCCGAAAAGGTTGGCCGAATTTTCTTTTTTGGATGTCCCAAAAAGATTTGTCATTTCCATTTAATTTAAAGTAAGGAATATGTGACTAAAGTTAATTCTCTCTCTGCACAAATTTCAACCACACAGTTTTTACTTTATTAATTCACGTGAAAGTCAACTTTGGCCAACCTTTTCGGGATGGAGGGAGTACTATATTATAAGACTTCCTTTTCATTTATCCCAAAGTTATTAATAGCTTCATTTGAACTTCAGTAACTCTGTACTTTCTCAAATTATCCTTTCGCTTTTCATTGACATACAATTTTTTCTTGTAGAAAAATGTTACATATAATTTTAATGTAGTATTAATAATAAATCTGGTAAACTTCTTATGGTTTGAATCTTTGAATATTAAGAACAACACTCAAGTTTTACTATATTGTTGGGCACATCAAAGTTAAAAACTAAAAAATATGTAGTACCTGTTATCTGCTGGAAGCACTGGATCCCAAAACCAGTGATTAGCATCCTGGCAAGAGGAGGAGGAGGACTCAAAAGCTCCCGCCACACCGATTTCTCCTCATATTTATCAGCATTTGTGGTCCCCACCCCAGCAGCTAACTGAATCTCTGCCAGTCGCTCTTCCACTTCCGCATCACTGTCATTTGTTTTCATCAGCACTGCCTTTGCTTCTTCCATCCGCTTCTGTACAACCAGCCATCTCGGCGACTCTGGAATCACACACAAAGCGAATGCTATGAAGACGGAAGGGAGTATTCCCACAGCAAGCATTACTCGCCAGTTTATATGCGGCGGTAATCCGGAAAATGCGTAATTTGAGACGTATCCAAGAAGGATTCCCAGATTTATAAAAATCTCCGGGAATGACGTCAGGGATCCTCGATCAACAGTTGGTGAGATCTCGGCTATGTAGACGGGTGCAATCATGACACCGAAGCCGATTCCGACCCCAGCCAGAAATCTGCCCATCATCAGTACTTCGTAGGAAGGAGCGACGACCATGATTGCTGCCCCGGTTTGGAAGATAATTGAGGCTAAACCCATTGTCCATTTTCTGCCAATCGCGTCTGAGGTTCTTCCTCCAATTAAGCTACCTAAAAGTGAGACTATGCTCAAAATGCCTACTAGAATTTCTTCTTGCACTTCTGTTATCTTTAAATCTTCTTGAATAAATATGATTGCTCCACTCATAACCCCAACATCTACAAATAAAAACAGATATTCCAGGAAACCTGATTAATCCGATAACCCGACCCATCAATATTGCTTCGAGTAAACAGTGAGATGGACATCTTGGTAATTGGCATCCAAATTTCTATTATACTAAAAATGGTTAACAACTGAGTTTTCACAAGAATCCCAAAATCAAAAGCCAACACGAATATGTATTCAATATTAATTGTTCCAATAAGAGAATCCTGAAGACTCGTTTTAGTGACTTCTTGAGTGTAAGATTTCTAACACATCTTTCATTGTCTTGCCCAGTTGAGCAAGAAGTCATTGGTAAATGGCATGTTGCAATGTGTTAAGGCAATAAACATAAAATTACAAACCCTTTCTTCCGTTCTGATTTGAAGGTCTCATGCACTATTCTGGTTTTTTAACCTAATTTTGTGCATCACACTTTTTTCATACTTGATTCAATGAACTACATTAATCCAGTATATGAAAGATAGGTTATAACTATCAATCAAGGATTTGAAAGATGAAAACCGTTGAAATAGGGTTCAAACTTTTGAATGATTGAATCCTATCAATCTAAAACTTAAAATATCATGAATTTTATTTTATTTTATTAAATATATATATTATTTAATTTTACTAAAGAAATAAACTTTTGTGAAGAAAAATAATCAAAAAGTAGCAATCAACTAAATGAAAAATAAATAAAAAAAATCAAATTCTATGAAATTTTACGTTTTTGATTGACAGTTTTCAATCATTTACCCTATATCAGTAATTTTCAAGTCCTCTGTTGACAGTCAGCCTATCTTACAAGTTTTGCTAAATCATCTATGTGGGACTTAAACACCCACAATTTCTAATAAGGAATCAAACACAACAATGCATCAAGAAGATCAACAAAATCTACCAAGAACTCCATTTATATAAAGATTGACATGATAAGATGAATAATAATGCATTTTAGATATTTGTTTCGTATCTATATACTTAATCAATGTGTGAACTATTCTTTATTAGTGAATGCTTTAACTCCAAAAGATAATTTAAGAAAATAAGAAGAAAATTACCATAGCCAAGGAGGACATTGTTGAGAGAAGCGAAGATAGCACAGGCAAAGACATATTTTTTAGTGCTCTTCCTCCTCTTCTCAAGCTGAAGATGTTGATGGTGGGATGGATCATCATCATCTACACCATCATAATTATGCATCCTCTTGTATTTATTGTTTCTCCCTAATTTATAATCAGAAATTTCCATCTCCACATTCCCATGATCTTGTATGCCCATCATCTCTACCCCTCAAGACTGATCCTTTATGAGATTCCCAACTATAAAAACTGAAGTTTGAACCAACCCAGAGCCTGTGAAGAGCCTATCAAGGTTTGGAACTTTGACTTCCCAGATCTGGGGAGAAGAAATATGAACAAGGAGGATTTTGAATATCTAAGTGATGAATATAGTATTTCTACATGATTAAATGTTCCTACAAGAATATACATAGTATAAAATATGGGAAAGACATGATGGACTCACGTCCCCAAGGCATTTGCAGAAAGATGTTAATTAAATTTAATTTGGGAAAGAAGTTGTCTGAACATGGCCTTAAGCAAGTACTGTCGGCGGGATTAGATTAATGTATTTTCAGTTGTTGAATCTTTAGTTCCCTTGTATTTACGTCAGTACGTATATCCTCCAGCCTTTCAAGAATGCTGAATGTAAAAGCATTACGAGTCCAAAATTGTCTTTTTCAGTCATTTCTAGAATTCTTTGTTAAAGCAAGAAACTTAAAACTTAAAAAGCAAGAAATATTAAGCTAAGATCGAGCTTTAGTTCATCACCCAAAAACACAATGCGTTTCAATCGGGGCCGAAATGCGTCCAAACTTACAGGAGGAATCTGAGGCGGAGTGACAATCCGATGCTTCCAAAGGTATAAAGGGAAAGAAGACGAATTTTCGGGAGTTCTTGGAATGCCAGGTTAGTTCGCTGCTGTTGGTCCGACTCCAAGAAGATCTGCAGGGAAGTTGGTCCTGGAAGATGAATCTTGACTTAGCTCTATCTTGACATCTCCCTCTCCCTGGTTCTTTCTTCTCTTGGTGGTCAGTCAAACGTGTTTTTCAGACAAAAGGCTATATAAGCAAACAGAGGTAAAATCGATAATTTAAATTGATTTTATTTATTTAAATCGATAAATTAAATTGATTTTAATCGTCCCTAAATTAAGTTACCGCTTTCCTTTTTGGGCAATTCCTAAATTAAGTTCACACTTCTTTATTTTCCTTATTTGACAAATTATCTACATTAAAACAGTGTCAAACAATACAAAACATTATCAAACAGTGTTTGAACAGTGTAAAATAGTGCACCCCACAGTAAAATCAAATTTATTTTCTTAATATATGTGAAGTAAAACCGGGAACTTAATTGGATGACGGAAGGAGTATATGAATACTCACTACTCAGTAGCTTCGCATGGTAAACTAGACACTTGCAATTGTTTTTATTTATTTATTTGCTTATTTTTTTAATTTGTTTGCATATATATAGAGCATTGGCTAAACACCGCAAAATTTACATTACCTTATCGTATAAGCTTAATTTTATATACTTCATTTTAATATACTACGTATATTATTTGATCTTGAACATTTATTTTTGTTTCTTGTACCATGAGACATTCCTTTTTTCAGTTGAAATTTGTATCATTGTATGTTCTTTTCTGTGGAAAATTTGCTAGATACAGATGTTAACTTTTGATTTTTTGTTAAGACATTTGGGATCGGATTGTGCTTACATTTGGTATTGAGATTTGAGATTAGTGCCTCAGCGTCGAAATTAATTTTAAGAAAATAATTAGGTTTTAGAATTTGATTGTGAAGATGCAGTACGTATATGGTACATCCGAGTGTACCTACACCCGGCCCAAGTAACAAAGACAAGCTCAATTATTAATACAGGTCAAAAACAATTCGGTGACAATTTTATAATTTTGATGAAAATCGTGATTTGTCTGGAATGAGCATTAATGCAAGTTTGGTGAGCATCATCTCTATTCTTTTGAGTAATATGATCCTAAAAATGAGTATCGTGAAATTTGCTTCAAATCTTCTAATGTAATTTTTTATTTGTTTAAAAAAGATTTCTGAAATTATGTCTATAATCAATTTCAATTTAAAACAATATGAGAATTTAATGTAGTATAATAATTTTAAAATATGCATTATTGATATGACATTTTAAAATGAGCATACCATTACTACCAAATGAGCATACATAACTTACGAAATGAGTATCAAAAAATTTAAAAACGCATTTTTGTGTGCTCATTCATTTTGGACGTTATACTCATTTGAATATAACATAAAACTCATTTCTATTGTGCTCAATATTCATTTGTGTATTGATATGACATTTTAAAATGAGCATAAAATGAATATTAAATGAGCATACGTAACTTACAAGATGAGATATAGAAAAACAAAACATTAATGTCTAAAATATTTTATAATTGAATAAAGATTAAAATAAAAACTTAAGAAAAAGAAAGAACTAAAGTTAGAAAAGTTAAAGTTCAAAATTAAAGGAAAACAAAAAAGAAAAACGGAAGCAGAACAAAGAAAAGGAAAAGTTAATGCGTTTTTTGGCAAAAGAAAAGTCAATGTTACAAAAATTAAAGGTCAAAATTAAGAGAAAAGAAAAAGGGAAATAGAAGCATAAAAAGAAAAAGAAAAAACGAGAAGCATAGATACAGATGAATGATAAGTGAGTGGGAGAAAATATATAGCGAGAGAAAATGTAAAATGCAAAAAATAAAAGAGAGCTGGAAGAATGTGCGTCTGATGAAGAGAAAAACGGAAGAGAGAAATACTTGATTTCATAATTAATAACCTGTATCTTGCAAATAATCACAAAAATAACGGGGGTACTGTACACCCGAGTCTACCGTATAATTTGTCACCATGCTGAGATTCGATAGCATGATCTTAATTTTGAGCAAATTAAGAAAGCTATACGTCACTGTACTGTAATGCTGTGCAGTTGGCATGCATCGAAAAGTCAACCAAAGTGAGATGTACGGAGTATTTTTTCCGATTCTTCCAAAAAAGGTTGTTGGCTCGGCACGCCCTGTAACTTACATACCACGACTCAGCAAGCAGGAGGTGTAATCTCCACGCTAGCTTCATTCTTCCAACTTTTCACCACTCAACCAACCGAGTTATCTGTGTGGGTACTAAGTATTTTTTCGAAAATTTTGTTGTATACACTTTGTTCATGTCATTTTATACACAGGTTTGTGAACAATTATTTTTTGCCTGTGAATAATTTATTCACAGACAAAATTTATTGTGCATATGAACACGTTATTCACAGACAAAAATAACTGCTCACAGACGTATGTAAGATGATGTGTACAAAAAAGTGTACAAATATTTTTTTTTCAATTTTTTTTGTGCATGAGGTTTAAGTGTTTAACCTCATATTGGCATTCTTGTTGATGCGGTTACGTTATAAGAGTTCACTTGATAACATTGAAATTATCTAAATGAGTTGATTTTGCTGAAACTTATAAATTTTTGACTGATTGAGCGAGTTTTAATTGAGCTTAATTTGATAGATAAAGTGTTCGCTTTTGTTTTTTATATTAATACTAATAACACTAATATTTCATTATTTTGCCTATATTATTAAATTGTGAGATTTTTCGAATAATATCAATAGATCTTTTCATCAAAGATATGCATGTCGTGTTTTGAATTTGTATGTCCAAAGGATGATTTCAAATATTACTCCATAGTATATTTTTGCAATGCCACTATGGCCCCGTTTGTATAATGACGGTTTGAGGGAATCGCTGTTTTTTTTGAACTAAAAACGTTGCTAAAAGCAATGTGTTGGCTCGGATTCGCTGAAAAACAAACAACCCCCATATCTTTTTCTGGTGTTTATCAACCAACTAGTAACACTTTTTTGTTGAAGTTGTCTATCTTGCAAGTGCATTGAAAGAATTTCAAACCGCTAAGTATGTGCATTCCTTTTGTAAGCAAATGAAAATCAAGTTTTAAAATACTATTCATTTATTATATTGCTTTTATTTAGGATTCCAGTTTTAAACTACTAGCTATAAAACATTTTTAAAGTATTATTATCATTGTTTCTAAGGTGGTAATTTGCATAAGCACCACACTCAAACACAATCTTTCAATTTAAGTAATTTATTTACACAATATGAAAATATTCCCCCTCCTTCAAAGCAAATGTCTTCTTCGTCTAAGAGAAGAGGACTTTTTAAAGCATGATAAAAAATCTTTTGAAGAAAAACTAGATTTACCCATTCTATTGTGCAATGCTTGATTAACAAGAGCTTTTGTGTCTAACATTTCCTTGTGAGTATGAAGATTGTGTCGAGTTGACATACTACAATGGTGTAAAGGTAAAGAAGCAATGTTTCTCTTATTATTAATAATGACGAAACAAGTGATATTCATGTCCATGTAAACTATTGCGGTAGAACAAGAATTTAATGGAACCACTTCACCATAGGACTCAATTGACTGCAAACATCTTCTTTGTCTAAGAGGAGAGAACTTTTTAAAGCATGATAAAATATCTTTTGAAGAAAAACTAGATTTACTCATTGTGTTGCACAATGCTTGGTTGAGTTTTTGTGTCTACATTTCCTTGTGAGTATGAAGATTGTGTAAAGTTTCACATACTATAATGGTGTAAAGATAAAGAAGTAATGTTTCTCTATCTTATTATTAATAATGATGAAACAAGTGTTATTCATGCAATCATGCCCGTGTAAACTATTGCGGTAGAACAATAATTTAATAACGCCAGTTCACCATAATACTCAATTGACTGCAAACTCACCTCAGACCTTTGTATGTTTCCATGATCGATTAGAAAGACATTATTATATACAAGAACGTAATATTGGGAAGACAAAGCACTTTAGTAAAGAAACCACCACCAATGGGCAAGTGATAGAGCCAACGTGTACTTTTTACAATTTTAAAGTTAACAATTTTATAATTAGTACTCCCTCTGTTTCACCTTAAAATTCTCACTTCCCTCTTGGGATGTCTGAGTTGGAGGTTCTGATTTTCAATTTAGGAAATAATTAACACCCTTAAATCAGAACTTAATTGTCAAATATTAAAAATAATTTTCCTATAAATCACAATAATCACTAATGAATTTATTATATTATATATTCATCAAAACATATCATATATTCATCAAAACAGCTTCTGAGAAGTTTAAACCGTGATGGGGTAGGGATGGACCGGTTCCGGGCCGGGACGGGCTCCGGGCCGGTCCAAACCGGGCTTTTTTGTTGAGGGTTAAGGCCCAGAGTCAGTCTGAGATTCTACCGGTTCCGGGCCGGGCCCAGTCCGAGTAGCTTTTTTTTGTTATTTTCTAATTAATTCCTACCCCCACCCCCACCCCCACCCCAAACCCCTCCAAAACACCCAGCCCAACCCGCCTACCATCCAAAAACAACAACAACAACAACCAAGCCTTAATCCCAAAAGAATTTGGGGTCGGCTAACATGGATCGATGTATGATATCGATGCCAAACAGATAAGACGGACAAGAAAGGGAAGAAAAAAGAGAGAGGATAAAACGAAAAAAATAAAGCTAAATAAATATAAGATAACAATAACACAAGAATATAAGAAAAATAAAAGATACAAAATAAAAGAGCATAAAAAAGCTAGAAGATAAAAATAACATAAGAACATAAAAAGATAAAGAAGATAAACGATAAAAGAAAAAAAGAGAGGAAAGGTAGAAAAGACATCAATCGTCCACACGGATGTGCGCCCTCCACTTTGTTCTCTCCAAAGTCATACTCTCATCCAACCCAAGAAGACGCATATCAGTTCTGATTCCTCTAATCCAAGT